TAATAAATTGGCCGCATCATTATTCTTACTTTGCTTTTATTTGAGATTTCAACCGGCTGCGGGAGAAAATTTTCAGGCCGCAGTCGTCAGCAGGAAATATTAAGGCCGGTATAAAAGTCATATTCACCAAGAAGAGAACAAATAAAAACCTTCTTCTAAAAATCATACCCAGAATTTACATGCATTTACTTAAAACATACATCTTTATACTCCGTCTTAAAAGAGAATGAATAAAGGCAACAGTAGTATACCGCTGTTCAAAAGTCATAAATCGGTTGAGAGAAAACAAATACGGGTTACAGACTTAAACCGAGGGAAACACATCAACTATCAGAGGAAAACAACGGAACAACAGAAACACTGAAGTGCAACAAAAACAAACTCCAACATACATAGAAACGAACTATTTGATAACAACTGCCACATTCCTGACTTGGTACAGGGTATTTTAAGAAAAAAATGTTGGCTTGAACCTGGTGTTATGGCTAGCCAAATCTCCCGCTTATATGGCAATGTTAAAAATATCGCTGAAATAACAATACTACGTGACAGAAATACAGCACATGACAGGACTATTTATGTCGGTCTGTTCAATCGGTAATGCGTCGTCAGACTAGGTGATATTTCAAGTATCAAAAACTATTTAACTATCTAATTAAATAAAAGAACCATGCCATACAAATTGAATATTTTTTCCGATTTTAAGTTTTCATCATTTTTTCTTTTAAACTTTAAGCAAAAAGAAAGAAAATAACCAAACATCAGATGGGGATGAGATTCTAGGATTTTTTTGTTATTGTCTCAACGTGGAATTACATTTTGCAACTTTATACGAGTTTTTTCAGTTATGATTGAACGGACACTGTAATTTAGACAAAGCTGTAATGTAAGAATGGAATTAATAAACAATTTATATTCATTGAATAGCAAAGAAAAAAATCTCCAGCAGATAAAGGAAACACTGGCATCATTGTACATCTATACAAAGATCTTCATTTGTTAAATTTTTAAAGGCCTTCCCCTAATCTGGACAAAAGAGATAAGATTTAAGTCATTTAATTAACGCCTTGAAACAGTGACGCAAAAGGCATTTAGGACACAAATGGTACAAACTGTATAGATCTGCATTAAATTTAAGCACAAGGTTCCATTCCACAATATGAAGGTTGGGATTTATTTTTTGGGATTATTGTTGTAGCTGTTTAGTAATTAAGGACCAAAAAGGGGTCAAAAAGAAGCATTTTTCAAGTTTCAGGACGCCAATTTGTGTAAAAGAGTTTGGATTTTTATGAAATTTTACTACAAGGTTGCATACTTTAAAAAGAAAGTTGGGATTGATTGTAGGGGTCATGATATAAACCTTTCAATTATAAGGGGCCGAAAAGGGGCCAAGAAATATGATTTTCTGATTTCTGGACAATAAATTGAGTATAAGTCTATATATTACTATTTAATTGTGCCACAAGGTGTTTTACCATAAAATAAAGTTAAGGGTTGATTTTAGGGGTTATGACCCTATTGGTCTAGTTGAAATGGGACAAAATCAATACTTTATGTAAATTGCTTATTGTTTTAGCAATTTCAATGGGGTTTAATGCAAAAGTCTTGGGAGTTTTTAAATATGCTGAATCTAATTGGGTATTTAAAATTTGGATTTTAGGGTCTGTTTTTGAAATGATTCATGTTAAGGTCCATAGGTTCAAAAATTAAATTATATGTGTTCCTCGATATGCTGAATCTAACTGGGTTCAGTTGTTTACAATGTTAAATTATTCTCGGCCTGACCAGGCATGAAATATTTGCCACTGGACATTTAATAAACAACAACCAATCAATCAAGAATGCATTAAATATTTGGCACTGGATCTAAAGTAAACAACAATCAATCAATCACGCATGATGATACCAATACAACACAACAAAATTAGAGACCATTTAACTGTTGGGAGGGGTTATGATTTTTTTTTCATTCTAAAAATTTATTTCGAACCATGCATGTATTAAATTATTTGTTTTTTGTCATGCAAAGTTGATTTTTTTTTTAAAGAACATAATGCAACTACTCTCAAAGAGATTTTTTTTTCCTTCTCCCCGATCAAAATATATGTTTCTTCAATACAATATAGGGAATCAGAATAAGTCATAGCTTAGAAATAAATAGTTACTTTAATATGCATGATATACAAAGTATTAATATAAACATTAAGAGATGTATCATAACTGCCTATTGCAATTAGACAACTATCCAGTTTGGTCATAAAGACGTGGATGCAAGGAATTATAAGTATCCGTACAGTACATCATTCAACAATGAACAAAACACATACTGTATAGTATGCTATAAAAAGGTCAAAACAATGACTAAATGTGAAACAATTCAAACCAGAAACCAACAGCCTGAAATTATGACGGACTAATTACAGAAAAACAAATGTGACAGGCAGCAACCAATAACAACAACTGAATGACAGACTCCAAACTTGGAACAGGCACATAAAGAATGTGGCGGAATTTTCTTCGTAAATTTTACGGACGCCATCACGAGTTGGTTGACCGTTATGTAATAACCGTTTCACAGATGATGCAGTATGTGTTTTGTTCATTGTTGAATGATGTACTGTACGGTCACTTATAATTCCTTGCATCCACGTCTTTATGACCAAACTGGATAGTTATCTAATTGCAATAGGCAGTTATGATACATCTCTTAATGTTTATATTAATACTTTGTATATCATGCATATTAAAGCAACTATTTCTTTCTGAGCTATGACTTATTCTGATTCCCTATATTGTATTGAAGATACATATATTTTGATCGGGGAGAAGGAAAAAAAAATCTCTTTGAGAGTAGTTGCATTATGTTCTTTAAAAAAAAATCGCGGAATTTTCTACCATATTTTTTTCTGATTTGAACATGTTAAACCCGGAGGTGCTATAAGGCCCAGTGGAAGACAAAGTGAAGTCCTTTATACATATTTGAATTTTAAAATATATACATAGATGTGTATTACTGTAAATGGTATTTCCCGAATGATATAATTCCATGGAATTGACACTGACCTATGTACATTAATACGTGTAGGAAGATGTACAATGATTTTGTTCATGAAATGAACTTAAAGTATGCTACTCACCCCGGACACAAAAGAACAAAAGTGCACCCTCCAGCATGTTCATCAACATTGTATATCAAACAACACTGGAACTCATATCTTGACTTACATCTAGAAATTGACAATGAGGGTCGGTTGAAAACAAAACTTTACGACAAAAGAGATGATTTCGGCTTCCCAATTGTGAACTTTCCATTTCTATGTAGCAACATTCCAGCAGGGCCTGCATACGGAGTATATATCTCTCAATTGATACGATATACCCGGGCTTGTGTTTCCTATCATGATTTCCTTGATAGAGGATTGCTGCTCACAAGGAAGCTATTAAACCAAGAGTTCCAAATGGTGAAGTTGAAATCATCCCTTCGTAAATTTTACGGACGCCATCACGAGTTGGTTGACCGTTATGTAATAACCGTTTCACAGACGATATCGGATATGTTCCTTATGTCGTAACTACAATACCCTTCCCTTTTCACGAATGTGACTTACCGAATTAGACTATTTAACGGATTTGTAATAACATAAACACGACGGGTGCCACATGTGGAGCAGGATCTGCTTATCCTTCCGGAGCACCTGAGATCACCCCCAGTTTTTGGTGGGGTTCGTGTTGCTTAGTCTTTAGTTTTCTATGTTGTGTCATCTGTACTATTATTTGTCTGTTTGTCTTTTTATTTTTGGCCATGGCGTTGTCAGTTTGTTTTCGATCTATGAGTTTGACTGTCCCTCTGGTATCTTTCGTCCCTCTTTTAGGAGTCAGATATCAGTTTTGTCGTTTTTGTAAATTTACTGTACAGCGTACATGTATATAACATTTATTTGTACAGAGAAGTAACCGCCCACCAGACAACACAAAATATTTTTAGATTGTTTAATGGCATCTGCGGCTGCACAAGTCATCATAACAATTTACTCATCAAACAACACAAATCTGTTTCCACACTTGTTCATATACAAAAAATATTATAATATCTCCCAATGGAATCCTATTGACAACATATTGCAGCTTCACAAACCTTTTACTGAATATAATAATTATATGTTTAAATTCAAACTGATAACTGACTCCTATGAATAAGTAAAACATTTTGAAAGGAAAAGTATGAAAACTTAGTAAGGACATTTTTACAGCAATTAAAAAATAACCAACTCTCACTTTTCAAATGAAAAATAACATGTATAGAAATTTTAGTCCAAACTTTTTTAATAGCTATAGTAGAATTCAAATCATAATGGATTGTAAGTATGCTTTGCACTTTGATGAATTGACAGTGGTTCTTCTACAGCAGTTGGTTAAAATATCTGACCAGTGACACATTTTGAATTGATGAAAGAAATTGCAATTGTGGAAAAAAAATTGAAATGAACTACAATAGGTGGACAGCAACACTTACAATCAAGTGACAGTTACATCTTGTTAATTCATACAACAGCAAATAATTTTTACAAATAGTATGTGATACTTTAATATCATATTTGTTTCATCAGCAACTTGACAGGTGTCACTAATGGAGCAGATTACTTACTCTTCGGAGTACCTGAGTTCATTCGGCGGTTACAGTGCAATACGTATTGCATAGTCTTTTGCTTTTTGTGTTATGTTTTGTAAACAATTGTCGGTCTTAATTTTTCTTAATTCTAGAAAAAACGTTTTTCTTTGATTTATTTATTTCGTTGTCCCTTCCTGTCTTCTCACTTCATCCAAATCAAAATTTTGCTAAGAGCCTTCTTTGGCATTTGCACAGGGTAATTTAACACATATCGCAAGGTTCCAAATATATGTCCCTGTTTTTGCCTCGTTCATATAGCCTTTTTTCTATTTTTTATGTTTATTTTAAATGTGGTTTATAATGTGTTATACGTGTTATTCAAACACGATAGATTTCAGTCACAATACATTAAAAACAAGACGCATTTAGGTTGCAACAACCAAATCCGTCCGGTATTGTCATTTCTGCATCAAATGTTATCAAACCGCTAATTGTCAATTTACTGTCACGGCCTGCTGACTAGCTGAATCATAAACATAAGGTAGGTAACTTTGTCAAACTAATTTGTATCATTTTATGTAAACAGCAATATCATAATAATCAAAACGTAACAATCTTTAGAAAAAGACCAGTTATGTCTTACCTTTTAAATAAATCAGCTGTGAAACAAGAAATAGATTAAACATGAAGGTTATCAAAGATAACTAGCTATGTTTATTAATCTGCATTCTAAATTAATAACACCCTAGCAATGTGGAAAAATCTCTCCTGATTTTTGCGAGATGCTTTAAGTCAAAGTAAAAATAAACTGTTATACTTTACCGTATTTTTATCTCGTTTTCGGTTAGACATTTCGAACTTTCGTATTTGATACTACCCTAAAGTTTTCTTTGTTAATCTGTCACATTCTTTGCGCTTCCTTTTTTCATTGCATGCCATTTCATATATATGGAAATAATGTAACAAACCTTTTAATTTCAGATCAATAACTACGTTCCTTTATATCCAATATGAAGGTAGCAATTATTCTGGCTATTGCTCTTGTAGTAATTCTTATAGGTATGTACATAATTTTGTTACTTTAATTTGACATATAAACTTTTGAAAACCGGAGTAAAATGTTAAGTCCTTGCTGCGTATCTTTACTATCAGGAAAGACCACGGTAGAGTATTTGTTACAGTAAATACGGGTGTATTCACCGGGATTAGTATTAACAAAGCTGTTAGTATAAAGGATAAACCAAATCATGACTATATGAATAAACAAAATCTTCTCAAAACAGAAACAAAAGATTTGAAGGGACAATGAAATATCACAAGTAGAAGAAAAACGGACAATATCATGGTAAAAAACCGGGGGTTATTTCATGTGTTCCGAAAGGGTAGGCAGATCCTGCTCCACATGTTGCACTGATCGTGTTGCTCATCGCAAGTACAAATGCGGTGATAGGTCGCATGCAGCGATGTCACAATCGAAGAAAAAAGGATGTGTTAGTAGGTACTATAAGGGGTAATTTACTTCAGGGGTTGCAAAATAGGCTTTTTATGAAATTTACAAAAGAGGTACCTCAAAATGTTCTTGAATACTTAATTCACCTTTAAATAACATTATGAAGATTTGCCCCATTCCTTTATTATGCCAAGAGCATTGCTATTGTCTCAAGAAATCATCTTCTATTCAGTTTTATATTAAATATTATGCTTATCAAATTAATATTAATTTATATGGTTTTTGGATATCTCTAAAAATTAAAGACTATGGCAGCAATATTTGGTCATAAATTTTCCCCCTTCAAGTTTTTGCTATTCTTTTTGAGGTTAGTATTATTTCATCAATGACATATACTTAGAAACATTGTGCTGAGTAAATGGCAAAAGAAAAATTATGGCGTTGTTATACATGAGACATGAATATCAGCAAATAACCTATACATAGCTAGGTATCGAGCTTTCAATGATTACATCTATGATATGTTGTTTTAGTCCACGAGGCAGATGCAAGTTGTGCTTCCAGGTGTTTACGTCTTTGCACAAGAAGTTATTTGGCATTCAGATATTGTCGCCGATGCCTCTGCAGATGTAGTCGTTGTGCTAGTGACCAAACCATTAAATTCCATGAAAATGAAGAGTAAGTTGGAATCGAAATAATGATTAATTTGGTATTTTTTGCTGCCTTATGTACTGTGGTATATATTTTATTTATATATCAGTTGACATAATTTAAAAATTAGGTTGATTTGTAAATGTGCTTGTCCCCATGGTATTATCCCTCCTATGACCGTATGATTTGAACAAAGATTTTGACCACTACTTAACAAATGGTGTATTTTGGTGTTGTGGTCTTCTCAAAACATATGCAGTGGATTAAGCATCCTTTATTAGTCCATACGAGGGTGAGTGGGTGGGGGATGCGGTTATCCTGCAATATAAAGTTATATACAGACGTTCCGCTGGTATGGGTCACTTTTTTAATGTCAAATATATCAATAGTGTGCATTTCACGGAGGTAATATAACAAGAGGTAGAAATTTAAGAGCCGATGGGTCATGAAGTTTCATCTTCTCTTAAAGTATCTATGAAAATTGTGCACTGATCTTTTTATCAAATGCAAAAAACGATCCCATGTGGTTAACGGCTACATGTAGATAGGAAGTCATATGAAAGCTGGGAAATAAATATACATGGGTTATGATTTTCCAATAAAATATACGAATTGGTGGGGATTTTCGCATAAATAAATTTATGAATGGGTGGTGGGTAGTTTTTAAACCCCAGCCAGATGTCTGTCCCAAATGTGTATTTCGAGACTCCCCCTACGAGTCTGCTTACTTTCTCATTATGTACATTTAAAAGACTCACTAAACGATTAATTAATCTAATTTTGCATCAGTAAAATTCAATTCTGATTTTTTATTATTTTTCGAACTCCTGAATTTGCCATAAAAAGTAACTATAAACTAACTCTTCATATTGTACGCAAGACGCGCATTTCGTCTACAAAAAGACTCATCAGTGACGATCGAATAAAAAATATCACTCTGTGTCAGTAAGACCAATCGTTAATCGTATGTGGTTGACAAGATTCTTGACAAGAGTGAAAGAGACATAATTTGTAAAAAAGAACTATAAAAAAATCTACAGTTATTTCCTTCATTCCTTTAATTATTTTTTTTTTAATTTATAGATCATCTCTATCTGAGATTTTTCCACAGATGAATGACAATGACAACACTGACCCCTTCCAGAACATTCCAAAAGGAGAAACCGAGCATGGTGAAACTGGCATGTAAAGAGAAGGTCCGAAGAAGGGATGATGACCGGTTCTGTTTTGACTATAAGATTCTACTTTTTATTTAGTTTCAACTGTTTTAGATATGTCTTCGATTTCTGTTATTGCACTTTTAATACATTAAATACTTAAAAAGACGAGTAAAAAATATATTAGTGACACATATAGTAGTTTACATAGCGGGATTAGATTGCAATGATAATAATTGCCTGTGTTTATGATGCAAAAAAAAACCAAAAATACCGAAAAAAAAAATCCAAGGGATAATTCAAAACGGAAAGTCCCTTATCAAATGGAAAAATCAAAAGCTTAAACACTTCAACCGAATGGAAAACAACTGTCATTTTCCTTGACTTGGTACAAGATCTAAATAAATGGTGAAATATTTAGTGCTCGTGAATATCCATCGTAGAGGCTAACCCACTTTTGTCGAATAGATGTCTGTACAATATAATAAGGTCTAGATCGTCCAGAGTATAACAAAATTGTCAATAAATTAAACAGGTACTATCAAAGATCTGTTGTTAATAACAAAATGACAGAGTAAATTGCATAAGCATGTAGTGGACCTAAATAAGTTTGTTTTTGTTTATTTCTAAAAGTCTCTTCCTTCTTAACTTGCTCGATAGACTAACAAAAGGTACACATTATAATTCATGGGAAATTCAGTACAGGAAAAGCACTCCTCTCAATAATACCAATATAAAACCGGATATATGTAAAGGCAAAACAATGATAAACAAAACCGTCTTAAAGAACGCATGCAAAATACTTAATCTGGTGGTATGTAGTCGTATCGCACTTCGGATAAATTAGTGAAGTTGTGATTAGTGTAACGTCATCACGTGTTGACACATTAGGGGTCAGTAGATTTCAAAGGTGTATCATGACGTCTCGTCTAATATTGATGCTATTGCTACTATGGGAGTGTTCAACTACATTGATTGACTTTAAAGCCCTCTCACTATTGTATTTCATTGTTTATTTGTATACACAATTTTGCAGGAATAGTCCAGTGTGCAAAAAAATCGTTAAATGCATAATACGGTTCACTTCTGATCACCTACGGATCCATAGCAGTTTGATTTTACTAACCCTCTATGGATCCGTGGAGGGCCAGTAGCAAACCATATAAATTATAATTACAGTCTTGTACATTTGACTGTACTTCCATGTTTATTTATAAACAGTACATAAAGACGCGATCTCGTGCAATGCACATTATAGATTTGTAGTTATGAATTATCGAATTGATGGCATTCCCAAAATATGCTATATGCGATCATTGTACTACAGTAGTATAATTATGGCTTCATAAATAAGTCGTTAAAAGCCAAAAAGAAATACATAATAGACAATTCCAGAACTCCAGAAAAGGATGGAAACATAACATTGACCAATGCAATAAAAGAATGAGCAGAGGTCAAGGATGGATGAAACCTGCCAATTCAAAAAGCCGAAAAGAAATACATAATAGACAATTCCAGAACTTGTTAGATTTACAATTAACATTGCTGTACAACGCTGTGTGTAAATGCCAATCTGTAATAAGATCCTGAAGGTGGAATCATAACTCCCATTAAATCTCTATAATTTATATAAGATTAAGTAAAAGATTGACGGTTCATATATCACTGATCGTTTATGTATATTATGTATTTATCATTCAACATATATAATCCAAGATATTTTTCAACCATGAAATTATGAGTGTTAAGCTTTGGATTTTCAAATATTTTGGCGTTGAGCATCACTGAGGAGACTTTGATTGTCGAAATGCGCATTTGGTGCAGAAAAATTGGTACCGTTTATGTTATATCAATTGAAAAGAATTTAAGGTAACTAAATTTCATGGGCCTTACATGTTAACAGGTGTGAATGATTAATTGTAGTCCCTTATAAATATTGATACAGGAGGAAAAGAGAAATAAAAGTTACTTCTTCATACCCGACTTTTTAATAGTGTTAAAAATTTGCTAAATCCAGTAAAGGGAAAGTTTGTGAGATCTTTTCTCTTACGGCTTTTGTTTTTCTGCACAGCAAACGCCTTTTCAACTTGATTAATTCATTCATAATAAAGATCAAGACATATACAAAATTCAACTTTTAGGTGTAAAAGATTAGCAGATGCAAATCCGATAACTGAAGTAATTATATCTGGTGGAAAAAAGTAAAATAACAAAAATACCGAACTCCGAGGAAAATTCAAAACGGAAAGTCCGTAATCAAAAGTTGTCTCATTGGCAATTAAAACACATCTCCTTATGCTCCTTATTGGTAGGGTTCGTGCTGCTAAGTTTTTAGTTTTGTATGCTGTGTTTTTGATACTGTTGTTTGACATTTTGTTTTTTTACTTTTTTTTGCTAAGACGTTGTCAGTTAATTTTCGACTCATGAGCAGCACGACATACAAAACGATGTGATCTCAGGTGATCAAAAGGGTTAAGAAATCCTTATCCACACGTGACATTCGCAATGCTGTTCATAGTAAGAACAAATTCATAGTTTTGTCGCATTCGGGGATGACGATCGAGGAATAGAGGGCAGGGGAATGGCTACGACAATTGAAACATAGCAGTGTCGTCTGTGATAGATATTTCATAAGGTTATAATGATAAATCAGCATTTTCAAGAAATATACAAGAATATTGTGTAGTCGGAAAATTACAATGTAAATATTTGGTTTAATAACAAGTGACAAATTAACAATTACAGTATAACCCACGTACGGCCTTTAACAACCAGAAAAACTCAAATCGTATAGTCAGCTATAAAATGCCCCGACATGAAAAAAAGGCCTACTCTATAATTATACAAGTTACGAAAAATAAAGATGACCGACATGAACCAACGATTGTTCTTGTGATGGTGATGCAAAACAAAATAAAAAACCAATGAACATTTGTCGTTTGTTGTATCATAATATTGCCTAGTTAAATTTTTGTTCTTCTGCGTACATTTAATGTGTATTTTAATCACGATGTGAATGCTGAAGATTGTGGATTTAATGTGCCTTTCCCATGCAAGGCACTTCGTCAATTTGTTGATTTTTTTCTTTTTTTAGATTTAAACATCAGTTAATTAATGACGCCTTAATAACATTAAAGTTACAATTTTTACTTCACTAGATGTGCATTTCGACAACATATATCTTCTGTGATGCTCCAAGCCAACATATTTTAAAAACAAAAACTTGTACAAACGTTGAAGAGCTGATCAAACTAAAATGGACATAATATATGGCTAAAGCCGGACAAAGAATCAACAGTTTGCAGGAGGGAATATTTATTTCACTGTCACTTCAGTTGCAATTTCCACTGGCATAGCTGTTCTGAGAGAATTTGGCTGTTCCTGTATAGCCTCTTTTAGTTTTGATGCTTTTCAATGATTTTTTTTTATAAAAAATAAGGAGATGTGGTAGGGTTGCCAATGAGACAACTATCCACCAAAGTTCAATTGAATGGATGCAAGCAGTTATAGGTATTCAAACGGCCTTCAACAATGAGAAAAACCCATGCCGTATATTCGGCTATAAAAGGCCCCGACAAGAAAAATACGAATCATTTCAATAGAAAACCAACGGCCTAATTTACATGATTTATAACAAAACAATTTCCGAAAAACAAATATAACAGACATGACCCAACAACAACCGCTGAATTATAGGCCCCTGAGTTGGGAAAGGCACATATGCTTTTGCTTCCTCAATGTATCTGGTGAAGGTTATTCCGTTCACATGCGTTATGCGCACTGATAATTGGTACCATATGCTGCATTCAAAATTGTTTTTTTCTTCCTTTTTTTCTTGTACTTGGTTGTTATTTCATTGACGCTTGACACATATGTTTTCATTTAATTTTGTAATTACGGAATTCTCATAATAGCAAATATATTGTAGTGTGGAGAATGAATTTTTCCTGTATCTGCAAGAATAGTCATACATATAGTTTTGGAGTGGGGATCTCTTTCAGATAGATAAGATGGGTTGGAATGAAGATAGTGTTCCTTTTAGAGCAGATGTGGTGCACTTAGTTTATTTCGACATTTTGAAATTGAGAGTATCATTTAGGTTTAAAATCTTAACGGTTTTTGCTGTACCTACAAGATTATCAAATATTTTATAATAATTTAAAGCGTAGCTTAATTTTTTCCTATTTGATCAGAAATACAAGCGAAGAGAATTGTATCTAAATAACATGTTAACGCGTATCAACAATATGAAAATGACAAAATAAAATATAGGTTTCACGATTTAACTGGTATAAGACAAAAGATTAAACATAAAAATTGAACAAAAAAATTACTACTGCAAAGCATGTAAACAAATATTTTGTAAAACAAAACCAGATTGAACTTACTCTAAATTTGAGAATATAAGAAGTATGTTTTGAAAGCAGCAATTGCATCAAGTTTAGATTCTCCACTTTTTTTGAAATTCGGACCACAGCCCTACTTTGTTTTAAATCTGTTTTATTAGAACATAAAGACATAAAACAAAAAACAAGAGATAACAAGTTACATAAAAAGAATTTTTAACAAGCAAAGAAAATACAAGTACTTTATTCGTCTTACTGACTATCATGTAACCTGTAAAAAATAATTTTCACTGAAATTGATCCAGATTCGCTAATAAGCATATTAAATGTTAATATATTACTTGAAACTAAAGAAGCTTTAAGTTTGTTACAGAACATGAGTTTAATTTTAACGTTTATAATATAAGTCTTTAATGTCAAATGTTAGCAACTACGGGTAAAAGCGACTAAGTGATTAGCTATGGTACGTGCTTTTAATCTGCATGTCAAAAGTTTGTTTAGAAAATGTCCATTCCTTGGTCAAACTTTTCCAGTGCACTCATTCTGAAAAAATCAATGTTTTTCTTATATATGGCCTCTTATTCACAAATAAAATTAAATATTTTTAGATATTATTTTCATTTCTATTTTTTTCTTGTAATGGATTATGCAGTCATTGTTATCATAGTCAAACATTATAAACACAAATATAATGAGGCACGATAGGAGATAGAATGATTCCTACCTATTTTAAAGACAACAAAAAATACAGAAGTCCTTACAATACAAAATCATTTAACTCTTGTAGCAGTGTTTAAGTTGGTCCTTTTTCTACTATTCCGA